AAAAAAAAAAAAAAATTATCCAGGCATTGGTTGGGGAGTATGTGGGGGAGAGTTGGGTAGAGAATCACTTAAGCCCGGGAGTCTGAGGTTATAGTGAGCTGTGATTATACCACTGCACTCCAACGTGGGTGACAGAGCAAGACCCTGTCTCAAAAAACCCCAAATACCTTTTAGCCACATTTGAGCAGCAAGGGAGGTTTGGAAGGAGTGGCTCTCAAGATAAGTCTACCTGGAGTTCATTATTAAGTTCAATTTTGGCTGTTTCATAGGCATTTGCTATCATTGCAAACTTCTGGGTCAGCATTATTCTGTTAGGAGTGGTACTTCACCAAAAATTTAAAAAGTAACAGGTATAAAGTTTAAAAAGAAAATAGGGCTGGGCATGATGGCTCACCCCTGTAATCCCGGCACTTTGGGAGGCCAAGGCAGACAGATTGCTTGAACCCAGGAGTTCGAGACCAGCCTAGACAACATCACGCAACCCCGTCTCTACAAAAAATACAAAAATTAGCCAGACGTGGTGGTGCGCAACTGTAATCCCAGCTACTCGGGAGGCTGAGGCAGGAGAATCACTTGAACCTGGGAGGCAGAGGTTACAGTGAGCCAAGATGGTGCCGCTGCACTCCAACCTGGGCTACAGAATGAGACTCTGTCTCCAAAAATAATATAAAATAAATAAATAGGAAAATAGGAAGTAATATTAATAGCAATATGATAATCTCAGTTTGCATTATAGTTCTAAGAGGCCCAGCATGGTGGCTCATGCCTGTAGTCCCTGCACTTAGGGAGGTCAGGGTGGGTGGATTGCTTGCACCCAGGAGTTCGAGACCAGCCTGGGCAATTTGGCAAAACCTCGTCTCTACAAAAACAAGTACAAAAATTCTCCAGGCACAGTGGCATGAGCCTATAGTCCCAGGCTACTGGGGAGGCTGAGGTAGGAGGATTGCTTGAGCCTCAGAAGTCGAGGCTGCAGTGAGCCAAGGTGGCACCACTGCATTTCAGCCTGGGCAACAGAGTGAGACCCTGTCTCAAAAAAAATAAATAAATAAAAATAAAAATAAAAAAAAAATTCTGAGACATGAAGCTAGGCTTAAAGACAACCAATTGAATAAGTCAAATGCCCGTTGGGAATTAGATGAGACCTATTGTAACCATGAGGCCTGCTTTATTTTTTGTATTTGGGTCCCAGCTTCCCAGAGGAATGTATCCAGGTACAGTATGTAGTATTAGCAATAGCACCAACATTTGTGAATAGATAATATAGCTCAGTTTTTACCACCTACTATGCCATAACTGGGTTGAGTTAAAACAGAGAGTGAGCAACAGTTTTTTAGGGTTTTGTTGTTTGTTGTGATCAACAGTTCTGTTAGGGATGTTGCCAAAGTCATCCACGAAGTGGCCTAAAGGATCTCTTGAGTCAAATTCTGTCAAGTTACCAGCAGAAGCTACTGATTGTGAAATTTCAATTACACCATTATCCTGCCAAGTGAAAAAAAGGAGACATTAAAACGGGTAAGAGTTGGCTGGGTGCAGTGGCTCACGCCTATAGTCCCAGCACTTTGGGAGACCAAGATGGGTGGATCACGAGGTCAGGAGATCGAGACCATCCTGGCTAACATGGTGAAACCACGTCTCTACTAAAAATACAAAAAAAATTAACCCGGGCGTGGTGGCGGGCGCCTGTAGTCCTAGCTACTTGGGAGGCTGAGGCAGGACAATGGCGTGAACCCGGGAGGCGGAGCTTGCAGTGAGCCAAGATTGTGCCACTGCGCTGCAGCCTGGGCAACAGAGCGAGACTCCTTCTCAAAAACAAAACAAAACAAACCAAAAACAGGTAAGAGTCTCAAAATGATATGGAATCTTGTTCCAGTGTCTTCGGAAAAGCTATCTACAGTATGAAACCATCAACTTCTTATCCTGGTTTGCAGTTTGAATGTCTCTGGTTACGGCATTGAGAGGTTTGGTGAATTTTCTGTGTGACCCATACATTAGGCACAAGGCTTGTCCATTAAAGTTCATCTAGTGTCAACTTACAGGGCTTCAGGAACAGAGCAGTGCCCATTTTTAATAATTTCATGGAAGAAAGTTGGATTGGAGGAATCTAGAATTCAGGAGCTAATCCAGTATACAAGTAGGTAATGAGAACTCAAAAGCAATGCACAGGGCTACAGTCTAGTAACAGGTGTACTATATCTTTTTTTAGAAACAAAATTTTCTCTTTACAGTGATCACATAGGAGTACCAGGTTTAAAAACCGTTTGAGGCTAGGAAGGAAAACCAAGGCAGACTTTAGATTTTACTGCACAGTCATAAGGTTCCTGGGCCTGCCAGGAAGTGACAGATTTTACTCATTCACTGTAAGGCTAGGAATCTTTGAAGGCAGGCTTTCTATGCACATTTTCAAGTATGATATTCTAGTTAAAGCTGTGGTAATGTAAGCAGTATTTATTGTATTCTGTTATAATAGAGAGCAGGCTGGGTGCAGTGGCTCACGCCTGTAATCTCAGCACATTGGGAGGCCAGGCTGGGCAGATCGCTTGAGGCCAGGAGTTCGAGACCAGCCTAAGCTAACATGGTGAAACCCCCATCTCTACTAAAAATACAAAAATTAGCCAGGCATAGTGGTGCTCGCCTGTGATCCCAGCTACTGGGAAGGCTGAGGCGCAAGAATCACTTGAACCCGGGAGGCAGAGGTTGCAAGTTCTGAGATCGTGCCACTGTACTCCAGCCTGAGCAACAGAGTGAGACTCTGTCTCAAAATAAAAAAAGAGAGAGAGCAAAATCTTACTGGACTTTTGCAAATAACCACATTGCCATAAGAATACTCATGAATAGGCCAGCATGGTGGCTCATGCCTATAATCCTACCACTGTGGGAGGCCATGGAAGCCTGATCACTTGAACCCAGGAGTTCAAGATCAGCCTGGGAAACATGCCCCATCTCTACTAAAAAATACAAAAATTATCTGGGTGTAGTGGCGCATGCCTGTACTCCCAGACCCTTGGGAGACTGAGGCAGGAGAACTGATTGAGCCTGGGAGGTCAAGGCTACAGTGAGCCATGATTATACCACTGCACTCCAGAGGGAGACCCTGTCTAAAAACAAAACAAAACAAAAAGAATACTTATGAATAGTTTTCAAATTTTAGATGGATTAAATTGGGAGAAAAAGTAAATGTTTCCACCTCTCTTTACAAAAGTGTTTCTTAAGGAATCGCTGTAAACTATGGATAGCTTAAGAGAAAAAGTTTCCTTAAATTTAGAAAACAAGGCCGGGCGCGGTGGCTCAAGCCTGTAATCCCAGCACTTTGGGAGGCCGAGACGGGCGGATCACGAGGTCAGGAGATCGAGACCATCCTGGCTAACACGGTGAAACCCCGTCTCTACTAAAAAATACAAAAAACTAGCCGGGCGCGGTGGCGGGCACCTGTAGTCCCAGCTACTTGGGAGGCTGAGGCAGGAGAATGGCGTGAACCCGGGAGGCGGAGCTTGCAGTGAGCTGAGATCCGGCCACTGCACTCCAGCCTGGGCGGCAGAGCGAGACTCCGTCTCAAAAAAAAAAAAAAAAAGAAAACAAAACAAGTAAAGAACCAATAATGTTTCAAATATATGTCATAAAAACATTACCCTGGCAGGGTGGCTCATGCCTGTAATCTCAGCACTTTGGGAGGCCAAGGCAGGAGGATTGCTTGAGCTCAGGAGTTTGAGACCAGCCTAGGTAGTATAGCAAGATCCTACCTCTACAAAAAAATTTAAAAGATTATAATAGCTGGGCATGGTGACATGTGCTTGTAGTCTCAGCTACACAGGATGTTGAGGTAGGAGGCTTGCTTAAGCCCAAGAGGTTGAGGCTGCAGTGAGCCTGGATGACAGAGCGAGACCCTCTCTCAAAAAAAAAAAAAAAAGAAAAGAAAATTATCTTCATCAGTTTTTAATTGAGTTCTGTTTGATTTTGACTAGATTTCAGGAATTCATCAGTTTCTTCATTAGAGTTCTGAAAAATTTTTATTTAGTTCATTGATCTTAAAGTTTTTAACTTTTTAGAAACTTGTATTTAAGATTACTTGTTACAGTCTTTTCATGAATCTGATTGCAAATGCTTTTAGAGAAGAATCAGAACCATGGATGACAAAGACTTGGAACAACCATGGTTGAAAATCTTTTTTTTAGACTATTAATTTTTTTTTTTTTTTGAGACGGAGTCTCACTCTGTTGCCCAGGCTGGATGGAGTGCAGTCGTGTGATCTCAGCTCACTGCAACCTCTGCCTCCTGGGTACGAGCAATTCTCCTGCCTCAGCCTCCCAAGCAGCTGGGATTACAGGCACGTGCATCCACGCCCGGCTAATTTTTTTTATTTTTAGTAGAGACGGTTTCACCATGTTAGCCAGGATGGTCTTGATCTCCTGACCTTGTGATCCGCCTGCCTCGGCCTCCCAAAGTGCTGGAATTACAGGCATTAGCCACTGCGCCTGACCCCATGGTTAAAAATCTTATGGAAGTTCATTATAATCAGCAGTGGACAAGGAAATTTGTCAATTTGTTATTTATGTGTCACAAGCAATACAGAAGGTTACAAGGGTGTAAAAACAAAAAATCTTAACCCTTTCATAGCTCAGGTTTTATGAAAAAGTTGTGAATTTCATCAGACACAGGAAGAGTGTGTCCAAGGTTATGAGTTTCCATCATATTATAGTGGAATGTAAATAAGAAAACTAGCACCAGCTGGGCGCGGTGGCTCACGACTGTAATCCCAGCACTTTGGGAGGCCGAGGCGGCAGATCACCTGAGGTCAGTAGTTCAACACCAGCCTGGCCAACATGGCAAAACCCCATCGCTACTAAAAATACAAAAATTAGCTGTGTGTGGTGGTGGGTGGCTGTAATCCCAGCTACTTGGGAGGCTGAGGCAGGGAGAATCGCTTGAACCCAGGAAGCGGAGGTTGCAGTGAGCCGAGATCGTGCTGTTGCACTCCAGGCTGTGCAGCAGAGCAAGACTCCATCTCAAAAAAACAAAACAAAACAAAAACTAGCACCTTCAACTGGGGAATACCTGTTTCTTAGTTAAAAGCATGAGAAATTTCCTGGTTAAATGAAACAATTCAGGCACATCAAGAAAAGCCTAAAGTACAGAATCAAGTTATACTAAAGGAAAACATTGCTTTTCTAGGCCCTCAAGACAGAATATTTGAGTGTCAGGCCATAACAGCAGAGTTAGAACCAGAGAAAAAAGCTATAGTAGCCGAGTGCAGTGGCTCACACCTGTATCCCAGTACTTTGGAAGGCCAAGGTGAGTGGATCACTTGAGCCCAGGAGTTCAAGACTAGCCTGGGCAATGTGGCAAAACCTCACCTCTAGGAAAAATACAAAAATTAGCCATGCATGGTGGCATGCACCTGTGGTCCCAGCTACTCAGGAGGCTGAGGTGGGAGGATGGCTTGAGCCTGGGAGGTGGAGGCTGCAGTGAGCCATGACTGTGCCACTGCACTCCAGCCTGGGCAGCAGAGCAAGACTCTGTCTCAAAAAAAAAAAAAAAAAAATTACAAAAGCAACAAAAACATTGAGAATTACCACCCTAACCAAGTGAAAAGATGCATCCTTTCAAGGGGAAAAAGAGGAAGGGTGGAAGGCAGCAATGTATGTCCTGGGAATCACCAGGAAAGTGAACTTCATAGCACTCAATAAATAATTGTGTTGGCCGGGCATAGTGGCGCACTCCTGTAATCCCAGCATTTGGGAGTCCAGGGCGAGAGGATAGCTTGAGTTTAAGAGTTGGAGACCAGCCTGGGCAATATAGCAAGACCTCATCTCTACTAAGGAAAAATAAAAAATAAAAAGGGTCAGGTGCGGTGGCTCACTTTTGTAATCCCAGCACTTTGGGAGGACAAGGCGGGCAGATCACCTGAGGTTGGGAGTTTGAGACCAGTCTAGTCAACATGGAGAAACCCCATCTCTACTAAAAATACAAAATTAGCTGGGCATGGTGGCGCATGCCTGTAATCCCAACTACTCAGGAGGCTGAGGCAGGAGAATCGCTTGAACCTGGGAGG